CCCCTCGAGTCCGGCTTCTATCACAGCAGGGAAGTCCCGGTCCCTGCACAAGAAAACGGAGGTGAAGAACTTAAATCCTATTAAATAAAATACTTTTTAAAATCATATTTTATATACAGGTTTCCCTCGCTTTATGTTGTACATACATTCCTGGAAAATGGCGCATAACTCAGATTCACATAAAGGGAACCCACTTTACAATGTAACAAATAGGGATACGTTCCAAGACCTTGACTGTACTGACCCCTAAACCCATTTCTGCCACTTTTACAAGACCGTTTTGGTACTCACCAACAGCAGACAGCACACACAAGCACAGGGCACTATCATAATGGGGATGGCAACTACAGAAACACGTATTGCAGACAACGAGTGTGGAGCACAGATCCACACAGGAGACTATCTTTTAGTGCACGTCACTCCCACAGCACACTGCACAAAGCAGCTGACTTCAGGCTTCCACCACCCTGATCACGTAAGAGTGAATTTCTCTCTCATATAACAAATTTTTGGTATAAACAGTGTCATTGCATAAGAGTGAATTCACACTTACAGAACCTGCATAAAGTGAGGGAAACCTGTACTCTGAATGCAGTGCACAGTGAACAGAACATAGTACATCTGTCCTTTTAAATTGCAGGCCTTTCTGGCAGCCATGTTAACCAGGGCATTTTTTCCAAACCTGGCCAACTGCACTCTTAGGGTCATGGGGATCAGACAAATATTTCAAGCCTTGAGCATGCTTATTTTTCAGAAGTAGCCTATTTGTCTGGAAAACCTCTGCCCCTCTAGCTCCTGCCATGTAGCTTTTCCTTCTCAGGCTCCTGAGGCCTAGCAAGAGGGAGGCTATTTCCATGGGTAGGGTATTAGCCTGGAACTTTGTATAGGTGTGTTCACTGCTCAGCTCTGCCACACCACTCTCAGAGTCATCTTGGGCAAATCTCTTGGTCTCTTGTGTGCCGTAGTTCCCCACTTTGTAAAATGGAGAATATGCCATTATTCTGTCTAACAGTGGTGTTGTAAAAATATGTTGTGCTCAGATAGTATGGTGTTGGTGCACACAGGCACTGGATTTCACTTCTAATGAGTCATTCACCCTAGTGGTCTAAACCTGTCTAGAACCAAGTTGTTTCTCTCCCACCAATGAGGCTGCCATCGACTGCTAAGAAGCTGCTTCTATTTACTGCTTTATGGTAATTGGCCTTTTGTTTGAAGTCTAACATCAGGAATTTTTAACCGGGCACTGGTATTTGGGTGTAGTTTAGATAACTATAAACTATAAGCACCAAAAGAACAAGTAGCCTTTATTTTAATCATATAAAAAACAACCGTCACCAGATTCAGTCCTACTACAAAAAAAGAATGAAGGTTGGCTCCCTGCTTAAAAGCCAACTGAACCTACTTTTTGGTGCTTGACAGTAAGGGTGTGTCTACACATGCATCAATGTACTTTTCCTAATGCACATTAAATTTAGTACCTCCAATGTGAGGTACTAAATAAATGCTCATTAGGCTGTCCTAATGTGCAGTAGTGAAAGCGCATACTTTTTTAGTGACACTTAATGTACAAACCTGTTCTACTGTACATTAGCATATGTGCACAGGTTTTGATACGGTGCTTTAATAGTGTAAAGTAGGCTACTGCCCATTAAAATGCATGTGTAGACAAGCCCTAAAGGTGGTGTTTTCATTGCTGCTCTGACCCTCTCTGGAGAGGGTGGCATATAAATATAAACACCATATTTTCACATATATGCCCTAGAGTAAGATATACACCTTGTTTTTGAATGAAGAAAAAATTATCTTTCTTTGTAGAAGGTAATTGAGTGTGTTTACATGCATGCTTTAATGTTCAGTAGTTTATTTTAATGCACATTAAAGTATCACTTAAAAAACTGTGCTATTTAGTTAATGCGCATTAAAATAGGCTATTGTGTGCTAAGTGTCACTTAAAAACTGTGTTTTTTTAGTTAATGTGCATTAAGACAGGTTAATATGTATTTTACTAGTACCTCATAATAGTGGGCATCTATACACATGCTCCAGGGTGGAGGGGGGGGCAGTTTAATTAATCAGAGTGGCTCTCATAGTTGCTCTAAAGTGCCTGCAGTGTCATGTTTATTCAGCATCCCACACTTCAAAATGGTGGCATGGTGCTTGAACTATAGCTTATTCAACAAGCATTAGTTCAAGCACTCCCACTGCCATTTTGAAGTGTGGGAGCATTGAATAAATGTGACATGGAGGCTGCTGAAGCATATTAATTAACACGGTCTAGCAGACTTGATTAATCAGCTGACTCGATTAATCGAGTCTGCCCCGATGCATGCTAATTAGCAAATATTGGTGCAGACATCTGGTACGTGTATCGGTGCCCTCGGTACTAGATTTTAATGTGCATTAACTAAAGCACATTAATGCACATGTTGAGACTCCCACTGAGTAGCAGCAGCTAGGGAGTCCTCATTGTTTTGGTCTCTGTGGATTGTGTGAAGAATCACTTAAGCTTCTGCCAGGTGAAAACTGAAGTGTCAGAAATTGCTGTTACCTTATTTCCTTATCTATAATGTGCACCTCAATTTGCAGCAGTTGGTTTTTCGAAAAAAAATGTGTGTTGTACGTGAGAAAATGTGGTGGTGGCGATGCATGTGGAGTGGTTGGTGTGCTTTGAAGGGTTATGAGAAACCTCCATCAGGACAATGCTCTCCTGATGCAGTGCACAACTCACTGTAGTTGTTTGAGGATATGCTCTGGCATTTCTTTAGGTAACTGGAAGAAAAATTTTTGAAATCCTTATAACAACAATACAGAAGTGCTGAGGGTTACTTATTAAGGTGTCTGATTGCAAAAGGAGAAATGCTTTATGGGAAGATAATGTACCATAATAATATGTATTTATATTAAAAAAACCTCTGTGCTGCTAAACAAGATTGGAGAATTCTAATCAAATGGAGACTGAAACCTTCCTTTGGATGGATCAGAATGATAGTAAAATAAAGAGAGCATGTATGGCTGAAATAGATGGAAAGCATATTTAAGATTAATAACAGAGGTAAATCTTTTTGTTATAAGCCCTATAAAGCATTGCCCTATTAAGGGAGTTTGATATTACTCAGACTTTAGGTGAAGTAAAATAGGTTTGATGAAAATTGGAAAGCTGGTTTTGTTTTTTTTTTAATTTTGCAGTATTTCTAGAGATTTTTAAACAATAGCTGACATTTCCTGCCGCCTTAACTCAACTGTTGTGCGCCAAACACATATGTATGCAATTCTTGCAAAAAATGGCTGGGATTAAAGGACTGTATCTTGTGAACCTAATGATAGAATCAATTTCTGTTGCTTTCTCATCAAAATATATAGCAGCCATTTACTTTTTATTTAGGCTATACTTCTGAAAACTCAGATTCTTTTCCTACCATCCACAAGCTTGAATATAGTTCTGACACCAAAATAAAAGTATGAATACACAGGATCATAATCCTAATACTGGTCTATTTATCTGTAATCCAGGACTTGCTATGAAAAGTAGCTGCCCTTTTTTAATTTTTGCAAATTTGATTATTTTTGCACCAAAAATTGGTGCTATTCTGTTTGTGTATACCTTTGAAATATCCTTTGTACTTTTGTAATGACAATTTTGTGGGACATTTTTTTAAATTGTGTAATGGGATGTCACAATAGCCAAACTGTATAGTTATTTTTTTAAATATTTTCCTGTGTTTTTGCTTTGTTAGGATGCAGAATTAATACAACTGATTAAAATAATAATCTAATCTAATTTCCTGGGAAGTTATGTACTTTAGTTAAACATCAGTTATCCTGCCTCCAAGAACAATTACCATCTGTCCCTCACCCTTATTTTTTCCTTTGAAAGGGGAAGTCCAAATAAGAAAGGATAAAAAAAGGTTTGTAATCTCTAGTGACTAAACTTGCCCAGACTCTTATGCCCACGCCTCTTCACTTGCTTGACGTCACACTCTTTTTGTCCCCGTCCAGCTCATTGACACAATCGCCTCAGAAATCGGAGAATTGAAACAGGAGATGGTACAGACTGATCTCACACTGGAAGATGGATCCACTGATTTGCAAAGGTGATTAAATATATATACTATAATGATTTCTGGAAATGTAAACATGACACGCCTGTTTTCACTGTGCTGTTTTATTCAGGACGCTGACATTTCATGGTAGTTTTCATCCGAGGAGCACAAAAGTCTGTAGGTGCTCCAGCTCATTAATAATGGAGTTTGCCTGTGGGTAGAGAGAGTGTCTAATGATTAAGCTATAGGTATACTTGTTTTAATTTCTTTTAAAAGCAACTGAACTTTACACTCCCACTTCCTTATAGCAAACGTCAACAGCCAAGGACACTGATAAACTTTTTTATCAGGTAACTATTAACATGATTACCAATGCTTGTGGAAATGAATCTTGACTTTACAATGTAAAGTATGAAAAGTACTTTTTGCTTCAGTTGAAATGTTTGTTTGAGAGGAATATAACCAAGGCAAGCATGCTGCTCAGCTTGAATGCATTGAGTAAATATGTGTTTCTGGCTAATTGATCTTGTTTTGTAAGGCAGTGAAACAAATAGGAAGGATAAAAACAGGCAATTTTTTTTTTTTAAAGCTTTTTTTTAAATGCATCAGATTTTTTTAAACTTGAATTGTTTTTGTTTATAAAACATATTTTTAAATTAAATTTGTAATTATGACAACACATTTTAAAAGAATACACTTATTATAATCTACTAACAATAAATTAGATAAATGTATTAAACAATACATGTTTGTTACCAAAGTTTCAAAGAAAGTAAAAGCATAGGATTGATGAATGTCACTAGTCAAACACCTAGGGACCAAATTCTAGCTATCAGGCACTTAAGTGGAATTAGGTGCATAAGTCTTATTGTACTCCACCCTGCCTGAGTCCCTGAAAAGCAATTAATTCAAGGGATAGGTGGGTGCTCCTTTTGCTCATGGTTTTTTTTGTGGGGGGTGGTGAGGTTTTGTGATTCAGTCTTAAGGGCAAGATGATGCTGTGTTACGAACGTAAATGCATTAGTGGATTTTCAGGTCTTGAACAGGGTAGAATAGGATTGCACCTAGGTGTAATCCTAAGGTCCACTTAGCCACCCAACAGGCAGAAGAGACTCTTAGTTTGAAAGATATGACAATCATAAATGGGCAATTTAGTTACCTCACTGGAGATAATAGGCCTCCTTTTTGTAATTATTTGGTTAGTTTTATATGCAAAGTATGTTTTGAAAAACGTTTGGTTCCAGTGTCCATCACTGTTATAGGTGTTTTATTCAACTAATTAAAAACAAACTGGGCACATCTACACTCGCATTAAGGCGCTTTTCCTAATGTGCATTAGATTTAGTACCTCCAATGTGAGGTACTAAACAAATGCTCATTAAGCTGCTTTGAAGTGCAGTTTTTAAATGACACTTAATACCTAGTAGCCTAATTTACTACATATTAGTGTAATAGCACAGTTTTTTACATGACATTTTAATGTGCAGTAAAATAAGCTGCTGCACATTAAACCACATGTGTAGATGTGCCCATGGAGTGCTGGTTTGTACATAGTTAATTTAGTTCCAGTTTCCATCCAGATAGTGCTTGACACAAATAACAGATAAAATAAAAACCTAGTTAGTACAAAAGAAATGAATTATTTATCATTTTCTAAGATAATACATATAAAAATTAAAATCTGAATAAATGAATTAAATTATAGAATTGTTTAAATAAGTGCATATAGTTATAGTGTATTTCCCTGGTTAAAAAAAAAAAAAGTAGTACAAATTTAGTGTAAAGGCTTCAATTAGTTGCAATTCAATATGTTTTCATGATTATAAATCTTTCTTTGGAAAAATAACTAAAAAAGTGAACACAGAATAATATTTAAATTGAATATTTAAATAAAGGTTTCCTTTTTCCTGATTTTAAATTGTGATTGAAATAATTGGTTTCAATTGATATGATTTCACTTGGTCCTGGGAAAGACTTTCTATTGTTATGCCTATTATTATCTCTGCAGGTAGTTCACAGTTCCCATTTTCTTTGCAGACTCTTGTTCTAGGGGCAGGGCCTTGGTGTGAGGTATTGCAATTTGTACCTAGAGAAAGCTTAATATACAAACTGTGAATCAAGAAACATGTGTGTTCATTTACTTGTGTGTGTTTAGTTTTCTTTAAAAGTTGTTTCTTTGGCGTTGGCTGTTTTTTTAAATACGTGGGTGAATATGAAGTGGCTCCATGTATTGTACCTTTAATTGTGTGAGGTTACAACAAATGCTTGAGGTGTGAGGTTTCAGGTGTACAGCTTCAGCAGCATTCAGTTTGTGTATAACTCAGTGATATGAAGATTTATACACCATAACTAAATTCTGGAAATAATTTCCCCAGTTTTTTACTCACATTTTTAATCCAGTGCACAATAGCTGGCTGAATGAATATTAGGCCTGACTTTTGACAGGGTTGGCCAACCTGCAGCACACATTTCACAAGTACTACGGGCAGCCTTTGTGTATGGCACATGGCAGATCAGGGAGGGAGCAGGCAGCCTAGGACCGGATAGGGCAGAAAGCAGAGCAGCAAATTGGGCAGGGGAAGGGGATCAGAGTGGCATTTGCAGAGGATGTGGAGCAAATCTGTGGCATGTCTACCGAAAAGGTTGGCTTCACTGACTTGCAACACATCTCTATGCAGCCCATTTCACTTAAAATCATATAGGTGTATGAGTGTCATATGCTGTACCTAATTAAGAGGTTGAGTCAGAATGCTTTAACATGGCACCTTCTGTATTCATCCTTTCAGTATTATGAGCAGTCAGGTGCTTGATTATCTCCCCAGTGCAGGTACATATCTGTCAGTAAAGTTAAAGAGAATTATGCACAGGGGTGGGGAGGAGCAGAATGTACCACATGGGCCATGTGTAGATGAAACGAGAGGCGTGTGCACACAACTTTTAAGTGGGCTAAATGCTTTTGCACTGCTCTAATGGTGTTGGTGTCAGCACGCCTTGGTGGCATGTTGTGCATTAATTCCATCCACTGTAGGAAATTCAGCATAATGAGCCTAAAATGACTTGGGGCGCTGCTGCATCTACGCTGCGGAGCGAAGCACCAGGCTTTGTGCAGCTCCATGGCTCTGTAGGAAGCCTGGCAGCAGCCCGGGAAAGCAGGCTTCGCCCAAGAAAAGCAGGGAGCCTGATTTCTTCCCCTCCCCGCCCCCCACCTGAGTCTGCCTGCTTCCCTGAACTGCATGGAGGCCCGGTGCTTCCCTGTGCAGCTGCGGTACCCCCTGGGACTGCCCAAACCAGGTGCCTGCAGGCGAGTGCCGCCACTGCCACAGAGGGAAGCGCCCCTGCAGACCAGGGACTGCTCCACCTGCCGGCAGCTCGCGCTCCCCACCCCGCTGGAGAGGCAGGTAAGTCAGTGGGGTGTGTGCAAAACACGGGGGGTTTAATCAGCCCTAAATTGAAGTGGTGTTTTTTTAAAACTCACCACTTCAATTTAGGGCCCCCATTTCGTCTACACACACCCATGGATAAACTTCCAGCCTTGTTGTGGTAGTGAATTCAGAAAAAGTGAGTGGCACTCCTTCCTAGCCCTACAGTGCAGCTGCATAGAACTGGGGTACAACTGCAAGTAGTACTTTGAGGACTAGGCAGGAGCTGAAATAATGAGCCCTGTGGCAGAAATAAGCCATAAAGGATCTTGAGAATACAGTTAGGCCCATTCTATGTGCCTGCTGCCAGGAGTGAGGAGAAAGCGCATGCTTTCCTACTGTTCTTTTTCTGCTCTAGCAGTAAGAACTGCAAAGTCCACTACTTTCCAAGCTTCTGACTTAGCCTGCTTTTCTCCTCTATAGTATCTCACAAAGTTTTGCTTGGCAGCTACTGTCTTATTCTCCATTTAGGGCTCCTACAGATGTGCGGGGAGCCTGTTTCGACATGCTAGAAATCCAGTATCAGTGGACACATTCAATTCCTTTCAGCAAAGTGGCATGGAGAAAACTCTATAGGATCTAGCTCTTTTGTTTTGGATGACATGAAAAATGCTGTTTGTAGCACTGTAGCTTTCTTGCTCATCTTGTCAAAGCCCCTAAGGCTGGGAGAGGAATTGGTAGAGGAAATGCAAATCACTGCTGCTTAATACGAGCAAGTTCCTTCCACACTGCAGTGGAAAGTTAAGGCAGCTTCATGCCAAGGGGTTTGTGCTGCAAGGCCCACCAGGGAAGTGAAGATCCCTTGAGGTACTGGAGACCAGAGGCCCAGTTGGTTAAGGGAAGAGCTGGTAGACAGGCTTTGCTAAGCTGTACTGTCTGGGAAGTGCTGAGGCCTATAGAGCCAGGCCTGAAGCAAAGGGCAACTGCTGATGTCTCTGTGTAGAGACCATAGCCTGAGCATTAGACCTCCTGAGGAGTGAAGCCAAAGTAAATGTGACATGTAAGTCGCTAGAAGTGTAGGATGGGGGAATAATGGGGTCTCCAAAACGGACAAGTCATCAAAAAGCACAACATGTCTTCACTGCAGAGTTAACCTGGTGGGGCCAATGTAACAACCCCCCCCATCTACTGCTCCCCCTCCCTCAGCATAAGAGTTGATAAAACTGGTTGATCTTGGTTTCTGCTGTTTTGGAAAAAGCGTTTTGCGGCAGCCTTCTTGACTTTGCTCCTGTGATCCCTAAGTATGATTGCATCCCCAAGAGTTACTAGCCACGGTCTTCAAGAAGCACAGTGTATTATTCCCTGTGTGATTTTGGTTTCATTTTTAGCAGCACTTGAATAAAGGATCCAATTATATCAATGTTTACACTAAGCCTAGCACTAAGTTCTGCACTGGCTGCAAAACCTGCTTGAAAAACCATGTAAACACTCAGTCTGGACCAAAGTTGGTGTTACCACAGATGCGGTGTTACCAGTCCCCAGGTTAAGTGGCTATGTCTATGTGAGCTGCAGTGACTCCAGTATAGGTAGACCTAACGAGTAAGTCAGCTGACTTAGAACTGAGTAAGTCACCTGAGCATAATACTGAATTATCTCTACATGACAGAGGGCTTGCGGAGAGAGCATATATAAAGACTGAATCATGGGTGGAGCTCCCATTTCAAAAAAGTCTCCCTGTCAAAGGAGGGGGAGGTCTTGTGGAGCTGATCAACTGATTTCTGGGTAGCAAAAGTTGGGGCCCAGATTACAGAGCCAAAACGAGTGAATTAGACAGGATTGAGTCTGATGAAGAAAAATCCCTCAATGCTGATCATTCTTAGAGGAAATAGGCACATTTTTCTCTGTGTGTGCATGTGTGTGTGCATGTATGCGCAAGCATGTGTGCGTTCCAGCGTGCAGTTTACAAGGCAGCAAATTGTGCTGATTACAAGTTATAACCTGCTCTCTGCTCTTTTTACCATGATTTAACTGTGGATAGGATATATCTAGGCATTCCTTTCGTACCTTCAACTGTTTTCCACGTACTCAAGGGTTCTCTCAAACAGAAAGAAATGGGGCAGAATCTTTGATCATCTTGAGTTTTATGTTTGAACACAGTGGTATAGGTATGTGCCATTTGTGGTGCCACAGACTGCTTTGTGGTGCCACAAACTGCACACGTTGCACATTAAACCGTATGTGGTGCTGCTGGTTTGCAGCACAGAGGCAAAATTTGTTACCAGGATTTCCTCGTAGCAGAAAAAACCCTGGAAAAAAAAGTGGTGCAAAGCACACAAAAATAGTGTGCACCAGGACAAATGCGGAAATGGAGGAGCAGGTGTCCCAGGGCTACCTGCTTCCTCTTTGCCACATGCTGCAGAGACAGGGGAACACCAGCTCAGGGCTGCCTGTTCCCCTGTCTCGAGACACAATGTGCCACTGTCAGCCGCTCGATGAAGCCCTGGGCTGCCTGCTCCCCTGTCTCCATGTGCCACTTCCCAGCTGGCTGGGGTGCAGTGTACCTCAGCACAGGGGCTGCCTGCCAGTTATCCCCGTGCTAAGGCACCCTGTGCCCCAGCCTGTCCTCTCTCCCTCCCCTGCAGCACATGGAGCCCAGCTGGGAGCTGGGAGGAGTTGGGCACGGCTGGCAAAGGGCACGTGCGAGGACGTGCAGTGCGTCACAAAGTAGCAGTACAGATTTGTGCCACTACTATTTGTGCTGCTGCAATTGCACACCTCTGCTTATCTAGACATGGCCTGTAAGTGCAGAAATCTGTTAGAATCTGTGATAGCAGTAACTCAAATCCACAGAAGTTCCATGCAGATTTTTCTGTTTTGCTTTTTACATTTTACTTGGTATTAGCTTCATATTTCTCTGGAGATATAATTATGAAACACCAAGAAAGTCATTAGTATTTGCTGTCAGTGGACAATGTCTGTTGTCACAACTCTTTTCTATGCGTAGTTGAAGTAATCAGATGGCTGACTGTGGATTTCTCTTGTTCTATGTCATGTTACTGTTGTTATTGAAGATACCTTATGAGAAAAGCTCCTGTCCCAAGGAGTTCACAGTCCGTGCCCAAGAAGTGCTGAGTATCCACAACCTTCACTGTTGCAGATTAGACCTAGTCTTATATTCCTTTCAATTAATGGATAATTTCTTAAAATGCAAAGGCTCAGGGCTTGGTCCTCAGTTACACGAAAACAACGTAGAGATGTTGTTACAGCACGTATAGTGCTGGGCTGTCCCCTAGATCCTGGCTTCCATGAAATCAGCTGACCTGTAGTTGTACGTACATTTGCCAACTGATCTTCCATGGGTCAACCATGCATGGTGTCTCTTCACTGTCTTCTGCTGTCTAGGTTTTCTGGAGAAGAAATATTTTATCAAAATGCCGTTTGTTCCCAGTTTATTCGGATGACATTAAGAAGATTTGCCAGCGCTGATCCTGCTCAGAACCATTAACCTTTGAATTGGAGAGAGTCTTTGGTAGATGTTACACTGCTGTATTCATAAGCTCTTATCTTGCTGTGAGAGGTCAGCCCAGAAGCAGCTGCAAGAAGCTATATATATATATATAGGTCATTAAGGTGTGGGCACCTGCCCTACATTCTTTCCTGAATCCTGGCATGGAGAACCGTTTGAGTAGCTAGAGCTTCTGACAAGGAACGCTTTCACCTTGACAACTTCTTATTTAAACTAATGTTTGTACATGTTAGCAGGTTGGGTGTGTGCAGCTGTATTTTTGGCAGCTCAGTACTCTGAATTACTTTTGAACCACCTGTAGAGAAGAGGGGAGCTGTGATAGATGTGTGCGGGTGCACACATTCTTGACATTCTTCAGATGTCTTCACTCCAGCAAGCAGCCCATTGCTGACCCTATAGTTGATGCCAGGAATGCTCCTTCTTTGGTAGCTGACAATATTTTTACATGAATAAAACTACTTCCTCTCAAACAGATTCCCTCTGCAACTTGTTTGGTCTCCACCAGTTGATTATGGTGTAGCAATAGGGCTTGACATGGTTAAGCCCACAGCCCACTTCTAATACATAGTAAAGCCCTTCTTTAAATAATGGCATTAAAGGTATTAAACTTTTGCTTGGGAAAGCACATTTGGCCTGAACATTGCTATCTGGCTCTGGCCAAACAAGATTGTTTCTGCAGACTGCTTCAGAGTTGCACTTCCTAAAGGTATTATCTTGATCGGAGAATTGACTTCTGTGCTGCTTGCTGTAATTTATCACTTATTTCTGGCAGGACCAATAGTGTCCGCTAGGTGCTTTGCATATCTAAAAGGCACTATCTGTATTTTACAGCTGATAGTTTAATATACACAAACCAGAAGAAACAGAGGGCAAGGGAAGTATCAAATAATATAAGTGGTTGGGTGGCAACTGGACAGTTCCTGGTAATGGGAAGTTTTAATGATGGTTGTACCTCTTATTTGGCTTTGTAGTTTTGGGGTATATATATCCCCCTTGCTTTCCTTCCTGGCCCTGCTCAGATTGTGATGGTGATCATAGTGAAGAGAAGAGATCCTGTTGGTCTTGAACTTGTACTGTGATCAGTTGGTCAGGGAGTGCAGGAGCAGTGAGGTATGGGAATAGGAGCAGCCATGGTTGAAATAGTTGACTGGGATATATAGGGAAGAGTGAGCTGTTCTACAAAAAGGGCTGAAGCCACCTACTTCCCATTTAGAACAAGTGGAGAGTATGGGGAAATTTCATTTCAATTTGTTTGTTGTTCTGTTTCTGGACTACACACCACTCTTCCTGATTTGTGGTTGAGTAAGTCAAAATTCAGCCCATTATAACTGGCAGTGCAGAGACCCATGCAATTACTAGGGGGGGAAAGTACTTCTGTGCCCAATCTCAGGGGCATTCAGCACATACGTGCCCAGCTTTCCTGTCCCTGTTCTAATTCTGCAGCAGGAGATCAGTTGCCAAAGTAACCGTTGCGTAGCTGGTTCTAACAATGAAAGAATCACAGGATGTGCTTTGAGTTCAGAAGCAAGGAAGCCATGCAGAAGTACATGCATAAGCCATACGGTGAGTTCAAGTCTGTGACTGATGGGGACACTTTGTATAAGGCATTTGGCAGTGGTCAGCACATTTAATTTCCTTGTAGGCTTTTGTTCTGAACATTCAGCTAGCTGTGTAACCCCAGCAACTGGTCTTATTATTGAGTTAAGCAGCTATTTCATAACTTACCTCACTGCTGGATACATTTTGAACTTGGGTTGGTTTGCCAGAGTCCTAATTCAGGGCCAGTTTCTGCTTTTGCTCCTTACTTAGGGAGAATGAAATGTCAAGGCCAAAGCAATTAGGTTGATCAAGTTTAAATATTCACCTGTTCCTTTAATTCCAGTTGTGAGGGAAGTGTGAGCCAAATAGAGAGAAACTGGCAAAAAGTAGTTTAAAGATGTTAGCTACAAAAAGAATTGTAACACTTATTCTTCTGAGGACTTGTCTGGTTGGATAAGTTGGTGTTTTTTGGAAGCATTTATTTGCGTGATGGGTCAGCAGAGGTCAAGGTGCAGAAGTATATGAAGAGATGCTGAGGTGATACCAGTGGCAGTGGAAAAAGGTGGCAGTCAAATATTGTGATAGGTAAATCTGAGTGGCTAATTTTAGGCTGAGCTCATATCATACATAATCTTGAAGGCCCAGGGAGAAGAAGCTAGTATATGAAATGGTGGAGAAGGGTATGCCAGTGGAATGGTGGAGAGATGGCCAGTACTACGGTGTACACACTGAGCACACTTCAAATGGGTTTAAGCTTTGCAAAGTTTATGCTGGTTCTTACTTTTGAGCTCTAGATGAGAATAAAAATATAGGAACAGAATTCACTGCAAGTCTCAGAATAAAAACCTCACCGTGAACATACCAGAGAAATGGGTATTAAAAAGGAGAGCCTGTTTAATTAATCTATACACTCATGTATGTGTGCTTGTAGTATCTCCCTGCACTAATTGTAGAATCTCAGGCTATTGTCTGCCTGACAGTAACCTACTTTATAGTACTCTTTAAGAGAGCTTGTGGACAGAATTAGCATTATGAAGTCTCAATAGAAAAAATACCAGGTGAGGTAAATGTCCATGCTGTTAGCATTAAACAGAGTCTTTGTTTGTAGAATGCAGTGATTATCTCTTAAGAAATGTGTGCCTACCTTTTCTAAATTTTTGTTTTATTTATCTTCCTTATAGCCTAGTAAAGGACATGGATGATGTCTGTTGTGAGAAAAAGGACTCTAAAAGCTGCCCCCGGGATTCTGGATATGACAGCCTCTCCAACAAACTCAGCATACTAGACAAGCTCCTTCATACCCATCCTGTATGGCTACAGCTTGGCTTAAATGACAATGAAGCAGTGGAAATTCTGAAGTCCCAGCCTCCTGGGGTAAGAGACAGATCTTCAAAATATGTGAATTCTTTTTAGGCAATTGTAAAAGTCTTGGTAGCAAGTTGGCTAGTGCCTTTGATCAAAGGAAGCTTGTCCCAAGTATGACCACAGCAGCTGGAATTCCAGGCACATCTTCATTTATATGATGACTGTTATTTAGGGTGATGCTCTTAGTGTGAATGTGGGGGCTGCAGAGATGTACATCTAAGCTGCTAGAGCCTAAGCAATGGAGCCAGGCTTCTCTAGCTGGGCTGGTATCAGACTTCCATCCTCTTTTGATTCTGTTTCACCTGTTGGAACTGAAGTCAACTTAGGCACATAACTATGATGCTATTCCACCCTGCGTAAGTTTTGGAAATCCATTAATGCTTCTGTTTTTGTAATGCACCATCATCTGACCCTTAAGACTGCGTGACAAAAAAGCAGCAAGGAGGAAGAGGACCCATTCACCTTCTCTTGTTTTTCATGGAATTGATCATGGTGGAACAGAATCGCCCATAGATACCCAAGTCAACTTATGTGCCTAACAACTGGAATAGAATCTCCTAACCCTCTATGTACAGTTGGTTTCCCCTGTACCAGTGATTCACAACTAGGGTGCTGTAGAGCCCTGTGTTGCCTTGAGGTCCTTTCAAAGGTGCCATGGGTTTCCATGCAGTGTTAGCACTGGTAGGTGTGTAAACATGATAAACAAGATAAACCCAGAAATTTTAAATGGGAATCCACAATGTTAAAAATATTCTGACCTGATGTGGTCTGTCTGAGTTCTTTGCTACAGAAGAATCGCTGTAGTATTTTTCTGTAGTCAAAAAATGAGTGAAAGCTAAGAGCTGGCATTTTCCAAGGTGTGCCTTGCGTCTAAAAAAGGTTGAGCACCACTGCCCTACACTATTAGGCTTCAGTCCCCCATGTGCATAAAGTAGCTTGCAGGACTGGGACAAAACTCAAGATCTCCCTTGCTGGAAAGCCCCTCATAAACATGGTGGTGGGAGAAGAAAAGTTAGGAAGTTTATAAATATAAATCATAGAAAAGCAAAATCCTTCATCTGAAGTGAATTTCTTTGGGCATTTAGACAATTAACTCATCCAGGGTATGTCTACATGACACAATTGAGTGCGTTACCCAAGCTCTCTGAATAAGCTAACTTTTGCTGAGACCAGTACAGCAGTATCAGTGACACACTTTTCCCAGGCCATTTAATCTTGCTTGCGCTGTTTAGGAATACTCCTAATCTCCAGTCATGTCATTCTTCTTATCAAATCAAAGCTCATATTTTGTTAAGTACAAGCTGGCCTGAGAAACAGGGCTGATTAGCTTGGGCATAACACAGTAATGGCTTCCAGTACCTGAGCTAGTTCAAGGCCACCTATACTTGTGCAGTGAGGCTGCTCTGATGTGCTGTAATTACAGCACATCAAAGCAGACTCTATTCATAATTTCATAGTTTGTAGGGTCGGAAGGGACCTGAGCAGATCATCAGGTCCACCCCCCTACCATGGCAGGAAAAAGTACTGGGGTCAAACGACCCCAGCAAGGTGTTCATCCAGCTTCCTCTTAGTTTCCTTTGGCCCAAGCTGCCAGCTCCAGCTGAGCAGGGAGGTGTGCTGTAGTGCCCCCCACCCCAGCTTCTGGCCTGGGCCACTGCAGGAATGTGGCTGCATTTTCAGAATCAAAAGTGAATGTCATAGTTTCATAGTTTCTAGGGTCGAAAGGGACCTGAGTAGATCATCTAGTCCGACACCCTGCCATGGCAGGAAAGAGTACTGGGGTCAAACGACCCCAGCAAGGTGTTCATCTAACCTCCTCTTAAAACCCCCCGGGGTAGGATCCTGCACCATTTCTCTTGGAAGTTGGTTCCAGATCCTAGCCGCCCTGACCGTGAAGTAGCGCCTCCTGATATCTAGCTTAAATCTACC